CACTATATGCGTAGACCTTTTAAATTTGTTCAAGGATTCTGTAATTATATAATCATATTTACATTTTATATTATAATTATAACAGAATCATAACGTTGAGCCTTTTTATAAAACATACGTATTTGCTTGCAGCAATTAAAATAGAGGTTGTCCACACCGAACGAGCAACACAGAAGACAGGAAGTGACGCTTGCACTCTGTGATTGTTGCTGATTTATATTTCTGAACATGAAAGCGTAGAACAGTTATTTACCTGCACTGCTAATGTAAAAATATAAAATGCAAAATCAAAACGTAAACGTGAATTCATTAATTGATGGATGTTGCAACACCCAGCAAGTAATGCAATACAGATGGGCAGGCAGAGAGCGCTGCTCTGGCACTGTGCCTGTAAAAGCAACTTCACATGCTCCATTTGCATTTGTTTCATATGGCAAGTCGCCTGTACGTAACTTAACAATCACCAAAATTTTATGGCAGTGGACTTTTGTTCAACTCAACACTAAGTATGGAATGAAGAATTTGAAAAATATGACACTTCCCAGTTCGTCTTGTTTCAGCTCGAGCATATCCAAACATTCAGTTACCTCCAAGAACAAAACCCTCACTGTTGGAACAGACGTTGATGAGTCCTGCGAGTTGCAAGGGCCAAATGATGTCATCTTACATTAAAAAGAGAGTGTAGAGGGATTTTTTTTTTAACACGACGTCAGAAGTAAAGCTTGTAGAGAGATGATTCCTGTATTTAAGGATTACAATTTGAATGGTCATTATGAGATGTAACATGCATCAGACTGTTTGGTGGCTGAAAAGCTGGACAAACTGCATGAGCTATACTTCCCTTTGATCTCAACTGGTTCAGTCAGACATAACCGAAGGGCTGAATGTGGCCGTACAATGCCCTAGATTTAAAAAGTAAGACGAAGATCAACAAGGATGACAAAATCCATCTGTCGTTCTCTCTATAATCTTTTGCTTATCTGGAGTCAGGTTGCAGTAGCAGAAGGCTACATAGGATATTTCATATTTCCTTTGTTGCCAGCAACATCTCAATGGGAAGTCTACACCAGTCTATAGGTCAGAGGAGTTAAACAGATCTGTCTTGGCGGTTTGAGGTCTGTAATCCATAACATGGTGAGAGTTATGGGTTGCAACATGCATAGGAGTGGAAAATTCTTCGTTACCACTTCATGTTCTGCTTCCTTTTCTTTACTCCTGACACTCTCAGTCTGTTCATCTCACAGAGAGAAGAGACAGTATACTGAAAGGTGCTGACAGAAATGTAAAAACATGTGGAGGATATGTATTGTCACAATCTCTGAAAAGAGCAAAATGAGCACAAATGATTGTTTCCTGATTCAAGATTCACAAATGTGCACGGCGACGTGGCTAATGATGTAACAGAATAACCTGCATATAATGCATATAATAATATCATCTTTATTTATTTGTGGTGTGGTGCAGGTGTTGGATGAGCTGAAACAGAGAGAACTGAGAAACTCTGAAAAAGAAGAGAAAATCCAAGTGAAGAAGAAAACAATTGATCTTCTGCCAGATGCAGATAATAACCTGCTGAAACTTCAGGTAGGAGCTGATGCTTGATGTCACCCAGCCAAGCAGGTCTCACAGATCCATTATATATATATGTGCCTTCCTCTCTGCAGGCTCTGGTAGAGGCCAGTGCCAAGCGAGTAGTGAACCTGGCATCTCAGTGGGAGAAACACCGTGCTCCACTAGTTGATGAATATCGCAGACTCAAAGACATCTGCAGCAGCAAAGATGTATGTCGTGTAACAAGCCTTTTGCTTTTCTTTAACAATAAATGTACAGTTTGATCATTTTTGTTTATTTTCCGCAGGTGGAGTCATCCAAGAAGCTGTCCGAAATCAAGTCTTTGCATGAAAAGATCCGTGTTTCTACAGAGGAGGCCAAGAAGAAGGAAGATGCATACAAACAGCTGGTATCGAAGATACTAATTACATTTTTATTGGGGTTGACATAGACAAATTTAAAAACATTAAAAATAATTTTAATTTGTAACGTTGAGTGGTTGATATACCTTTAAATACCATGAAAATGGTATTTTCTAAGCCTGAAAAAAATGTCATGAGAAAAGGCAAGGAAATTTGCTCCACAGATCCCTTTTCTAAAGTAGTGCATCTCCAATACATCAAATTAGGTCATTCATTATTTGAAGCTTGTTTCGTAATATAAGGTTTATAATGGTTATGGCAAGTAGTTGGAAGGATTAGTTTGCAAAATATGTGTTTTGGCTGCTGAATGTAATAAATGTGCTGGTCTTTTGTCCCCGTTTGCTTCTAACGTAGGTAACAGAGTTAGAAAATCTCCCTCAAGATGCGTCTCGCTCAGCGTACACTCAGAGAATTCTAGAGATTGTCAGCAACATCAAGAAACAGAAGGAGGAAATTACAAAGGTATGTTTAAAACCAAGAACTGAAGGAATCTTAATTAGTGATTTTTACATGTCCTATGACCAGACCAGCAGTCTGCATACCTAGGTTCTTGATTTTTATACACCTGTGGCCATAGAAATTATTGGAGCTGCATGAATTCGATTATTTGGATGGTACGTGAATAATTTTGGCAATATAGTGTATTTCTCCCAGCTTCTGTTTATTGGCTCCCTGTTAAATCTAGGATTTAAAGTCCTTCTTTGCACATAATACAAGATCTTGAATAAATAGGCCCAGTCTTAACTTAATGTCCTCAGATATCACCCCATATCTTATCACCCTAGCAGAGTACTTGTTAGGGCTGGATCAGGTAACCCTGAAGCAGCCTGGGCTGCTGCAGGCTCACTCACTATTTCTTCCTCACTCATCTAGTTATAATAGTGTGCCTCGAGGCATTCACACTGTCTAGATCCTGTTTCTCTTTAAACTTTGTTCTTCTACCTTATTGTGTGAATGCTTCACAGGCATTCACACTATTGAGTTCCCATTTCTCTTTATACTTTATTCTTCTACCTTACTATTCTAGTTGCTCAGACCTTTGCTGGTTAACTACTCCCTCAGTTTTCAGCCGATTTTCACCATTCAAACTTTAAACTGTTCAGCTCTTTCTGCTGAAGCGTGCTATATCTTTTGGTGCTCATACCTTTTATACTTTTTGAGATATTAAGCTTTTTATGCCATTTTTGGCCCATTTTGCTGAATGGGACCACATTATCAGTGTGATCACCAGTTTAGCTTGCCGAGCTGAGCCATGTTTTAGCTCAGTGAGCAGCTGTTCTCAGAGCAGGCGGACCGGGTTCAAATCCCGCTTATGGCAACATTTTCTTCAGTTAACACTTCAACTGTTTTAACTCTTTCCACGCAAATTTCAGCTTTTTCACCTCTTTTTAGCAGAATTTTCAGTTTTTCATTACTTTTCAGCACAAATTCCAGCTTCTTTAGCTGTTTTTAGCACAAACTTCAGCTTCTTTACCACTTTTCAGCTAGAGAATTCTGCTGATTCACCTCTTTTGAGTACAATTTTCAGCTTTTTCACCTCTTTTCAGCGCAATTTTCAGGTTCCTTAACAAAAAACATTTCAGTAAACAGTTCAACTTTTTTTAAACTCTTTTCAACACAAATTTCAGCTTCTTCACCCCTCTTCAGCAGAATATTCAGTTTGTCAACTCTTTCCAGCAGAAAGTTGAGCTTTTTCACTATTTTCAACACAATTTTCTGTTTCTTCTGCTCTTTTCAAGTTCAAAAGTTCACCTCTTTTCAGCAGAATTTTTTTTATCTCTTTTCAGTACAAATCTCAATTTCTTCTGCTCTTTTCAGCACAATTTTCAGTTTTTCACCTCTTTTCAGCACAATTTTCAGTTTTTCACCTCTTTTCAGCACAATTTTCTGTTTCTTCTGCTCTTATCAGTGCAAATTGTTTTTCTCATTACATCTTTGGTTGGCATCAGAACTGGTTTGGCTCAGTGGGATGAGCAGCCGCCGTGAGACCCGGTGGCGAAGGTTCGAATCCTACCTGTGGCAATTGCCACACATGTTCGCCCGCTTGCATGCACTCAGCTTTCTCGACACTCTTCACTGTACCCTTTCAAATACAGCCATCTTTAGCAAGCAGTTCAGCTTTTACAACTCTTTTCAGCAGAAAGTTCTGCTTCCGCTGCTGTTTTCAGCAGTTTCCAGTACAAGGCATTCACACTGCATTTTCGCAGGAAATGCAACTTTTTCTAGTTAAATTCTGTCTTGCTTCCATAGTGTACTTTTTGTCCTCTGCTCTTTTCTTTTCTCTTCACCCACAACAAGTAATGGCAAATGTTTGCTCCTCTCTGAGCCCGGTTTGTAGGAGTCACCGTGTCCTCATATGAGGTCTTTTGATTGTTTGGGTTTTCTCTCTGTTTTTACCCCTCAGCCATAAAAGGCTGATGAGGTCTGGTGTACAGGCGGGCAGGTGGCGTGAACACTCAAGTTTGTGAATGCGATAACTCAAGAACGAGGCGACGTAGGATTTTGAAACGTGTACCAAAATCCTAGAGTGAAGGTTTTCAGTCATCCAGGTCATCGCAGTCTAAGGAGCTTGGAAAGAGAAGCGTCTGGACTTTAAGTTTCTTGAAGACGTTTCACCTCTTATCCGAGAAACTTCTTCATTTCTAAGAGCAGTTGGTGGAAAGAGCAATCACACACAAGCCAAGGTTTAAAAACGGGTGTGGGTTTACACCCTGGCTCGTGTGATTAGGCAGAGGATCAGTAGGGACACTCCCATAGGGCTTAAAAATCTGAGACTCTCCACCAGTTGCTCTTAGAACTGAAGAAGCTTCTCGGATGAGAGGTGAAACATCTTCAAGAAACTTAAAGTAGTCCAGACTCTTTTCTTTCCAAGCTCCTTAGACAGACCATATGTGCATCTACTAAAAATCTCATACAAGTTTGAATTTCAGTCGAGGTCAGAGGTCAGGTTTTCTGAAAATCTTCTGAATGCAAGATCTCAAGAAGGGAAGTCATGTAGGACTTTCACATTCGTACCATGTGTGCATCTGCTAAAATCTCAGACAAGTTCAAATCCTGGTGATTTGAAAATCTTGCACCTTAAAAATTCAGATTTAACACTGTTCACTTTCCTTTCAGATTTTATCAGACACTAAGGAGCTCCAGAAAGAGATCAATAATCTGACTGGAAAACTAGACAGGACATTTGCTGTGACTGATGAGCTGGTCTTTAAGGTAGTAGAGAGTTTTTATTTTCACAGGATTGGAACTCTTCTGTCTCATTGTTCAGAAATGTTATGCATAATTATGAGGATGATTTCTTTTTATCATTTTACCATTTCTCAGCAAAAAGATTTTCTTCATTGAACAAATGTTTAGTAAAAAGAGGTTTGAGTTCTTCCCAGCGATGGGATAGATGCTCTTTAATCTTATCATTCCCTGACTTGATTGTTTTCTTTTTTCCAGAGAAATCAGTTGCTCCTGTGTTTATTTTGTCAATAAATATTTGTCATGTATGATTTGTGTAGGATGCCAAAAAAGATGAAACCGTCCGCAAATCCTACAAGTACCTGGCAGCCTTGCATGAAGTATGTCACTGTTTGTCTGTGTATCATATATTACTATACCCTTGATGTCTATCAACAACAAATGCTTTCATCATCTTGGATTCTTCCGTAGAACTGTAATCAGCTAATCCAAACCATTGAAGACACCGGTACAATCCTGAGAGAGATTCGAGATCTCGAGGAGCAGGTAGGATTTACAGTTCGACTGCTGCAGTGTTGATTGCTGTGTTACATTAGAATAGAATGAAAAGTCAAATAGTTGTCCAGCCTGGAAAGAGCTGCAGGATGTAGTTAAGTGTGACCCGATGAGCAGGATGTTGAAGGCTGTGGTAGAAAGGATAGGTGAGGTTGAGCAACCCATTGCAATGCCTTTTCCAAGCTGATGCCAGCTGGTTGTGACCTCTTGAGGTGTAAAGGTGGCGACTGCTTGGCTGTACTCTGAGGGGATGGCTTGGGACTTCCAGGCTATTCTCATCAGTTTCCAGAGGAGCTTCAGTACCGTGGGACAGTTCTTGTACACCTTATGAGGCATGCCATTTGGTCCTGGTGTTAAGGCAGCCTTGTTTACCACAAGATTAATTTCAGACCATTTGGGAGGCGCAGTATCAAACCTGAAGACTGGCTCAGTGAGACGAGGCACATGCTCTGGAGAGCCAAGTGGGGTGTTCTCAGGGTCACATAATTGAGTCTTGGTGTGCTCTTCAAGGTCCTGCTGGGTGGCAGCTTTCTGTTATTTTTCTCCTCCAGGACACTTTTTCATGTATTAAAAAGTTTCCTGAAAGAACCTCGTCTGCTCCTTTCTCTTTCTTGTTTCCGTGCTTCTGGATCCGCTCTGCCCTCCTCAAGGTTAAAGCCTGCTCTTGATCTGGACCCAAAGTAGCTGCCTCTCCTTTATAAACTTAGAAATCTCCTGCTCAGGTCACCCTTTTCTCCGGGGGTGTTCTTCCTGTGGGTTATTGCCTCAAATCTCTACCCACCTATCCCTGTAGACAATGCTGTCAAAGAGGTTTACAGATTTTTCTTTTTAGTTTAAATATTTAGTCTTGAGCTGAGAGTTTTATTCAATACTGTATTTATGAAAACAAACCAACAAGGAAAAAGTATTAGACTTGAAATTTGGGCTATTAGTTGACCAGCAACAGTCACAGGTTGCTGAGGTCTTTTTGTTTGTTGTTGTATTTGCTAAGCTACATTATACCTGTAGCAGGTCCATAGTAGGCACACAGTAATTATATTTTTTATCCATGTTTGTCTTTAGTCACCACAGGCAACATGTGTCTTTTGAAAAATCTTTGGTCTTTTGGTCATTTTGTGTTATTCTCTGTTAGATTGAGACAGAAAATGGAAACAAAACTGTGGCTAACCTGGAGAGGATTCTGGAAGACTACAAAGCGATTCGACAGGAGAACGCTTCACTCGCTGCCAAAGTGAGAGAAGGATGAAAGGACAGCTCTGCTTTATGAGGCTAAAGTGAAAACATGAATGGGACTGAAACAGCACTTCAGCTGTCACACTTAGATGTTTGTCCATTAACGTGGAGACCTGCTTTTCTTTGAAAAAGACAAAGTGTGTTTTGGACCACAGGAACTCTGTAATTGAAATGCATGCCATGGATGGACAAATAGGTCGGTAGATGGAAAATGTTGAATTTGTACTTGGTGTGCCTGGGGGATGATTGTTATGCATTCAACTGAAACACGACACTGGGCAGCAGCAGGTGCTGTCATTTATAACGATACATGAGACATCATAAGATGTTGTGATTGAAATTTAATGTTTTCCTTTGACATTTTAAAACACAAGTAACTTTTCCATTTTCAGACCCTCAGTCTATAAGTTGTCATGATTTCATGTGAGCTTAAGTTGAGCGAATGGCATTTGAATGTAGTTAATCTGTCGTCCATCAGCAAATTGTTGTATATATGGTACCAGCCTAAATAAAGATGCCTTACATGCTTGAAGATACTGTGATTTTTTTTTTTTTTTTTTT